ATTTTTTTTGGGTGTGTTTCAAATGAATCACATATTGTGGTATTTATAGAAATTTTCGAATCTGAGCATTTACTAGGAAATTGCTAGGAAAAGTAGGTACATAACACGTTTTTGATTAATATTCTATATTTTCTATCCATTTTCTCTTAATTTCGTAGTAAAAAAATTTTTCCTCCTAATTTCGTAGTAAAGATTTACTAGAACTTTACGAGGAAATGTTCTACTATGCCTTTACGAGGAAACACTTTTCTCGTAAGTTTACGAGAACCTTACGAGGAAAAGATGTTTCCTCGTAAAGTCGAAATAAACTAGTAGTATATTTACGAGAAAATGTTTTCCTAGTAAATTTTCCTAGTAATGGCTTAGTTTTCTTGTAGTGTTTTGATTGATGAAAAGATCTCCTCAACCAATTTACAATTAATATGTCAACGAAAGTTTATTTTGCCAAAGTATGGATCGGACTACTCTACAGAGAAAATCAAATACATTCGACATTGAATTGATCAAGCACTCAGTTATGAATCAAAATGGTTTATGAGTCAAGTCTATAAAGGGATACCTACGTCGGTAAGTAAGTACACTAGGTAAGGATTTATCCCTATTTGTGGTGGGTGAAGTGGGGGAGTTGTGAAAGGTGAATATATAATCATGAGAGTAACGTGCTGGTTTAGCCAATTAATTTATAAAGTTTGACTCCAACTGTCAATTAATAAGTAATTACTTTTGTATACAAACCAAAATGGCGGTAACGATGAATATCACAATCATTTTCTCTTAGTTTGAAAAACGTTTATTCTAGATACAGCACACTAGCTAGTTGCATTTTTAGAAAAATTATCCTATAGATTGAAATTCAAAATTTATTTATATGAAGTGTTAATTTAACATAGGTCAATAATAAAATACAGAAAGAAAGGAAAAAATATCATATATTTGTTTGGTGTCTAATGACATATCATCTTTTTTGTATCATCTCGAACTTTTCAAACAGTGTTATAAGAAAAAAATATATTATATATTGAGGTTCCGAATGGTAACATATGAAAAAACTCCGCACTAATGTTAGTAATAACAAAACATTATCTATGTATACATATATTTATACATTTATATATTTTGTTATGATTAAAACTGCAATTCCGTAGTTCTGCTTATATGTTACCATTCGGACAGTGAATGTACGTATTAAATGAAAATGTTTCGTCGTGATCACACAAATCAATAAAAGCATTTGGACAGCTATATTGTACAATAAATTGGTATGTAGGTTATGAGATAAAAGTATAACTAAGGGACATACAATGTCCCATATCAACCATGCATAACTCGTCATTCGCATGCACTACCAGCTATTTCTATATAATATTAACTAGGCTAGCTAAGCTAGGGCTTACTCCATTTCAAATCACACAAGATCCGTTATAAGTATATTAAATGCGATGGAACTCACTCTCTATTTCGTGAGTGTGCACGGACGTGTACATGTCGTCGAAAAACAGTACATGGTGCAATGGTGGTGGGACACTCTCAACACCACTCCTGCTCAACACTATTATTAACTTTCGGTATGAGTGTATGTGTCTGCATAATATCCATAGTAAATCTGCATAGTGCATACGACAATCAAGATAAATAGATTCTAAATACTAATACTCAATCTACTGATCATGAATATAGTATTAAACGCTGATACTGGTCGAGCCTGAGAAATTGGTTTTGATCATTTAGAAAGAAAAGGAATTACACGCATTATGATATATATTAAATACAAACTATATATATAGGCATATAGCATATATTTTGCAAAAATATATAGTATAAAACTATAAATATAATTACTGCAGAAAGAAAGATGATCTTACAATAATACATTTACAAGGCTAATTAAAGGGTACAGAAGGAACGCATTAATCAACATTAAGGGCCTAACTGGTTACAACGCATCGATTGCGGTTGCGGACGTTTGCGGATGCGGGTGATTGCGGTTTTAAGCGTTAGTAAGAGATTAATACGATTGGTTCAATTGCGTTTGTAGAATTTTTATGATTGGTTTATCATCAAATACAACAGCGGTTAAGTAATAAATTAACAATATTTATATTTTATATAATTATCAAAATATTAAAATCATATTTTCATGATAAATATAAAATTTTTATTGAAAAACTGTACTATTAAATTTTGTAAAAATTAAAGAAAATATTTTTTGGAAATTTTATAGTATAAATATTCTAATATTTCAATTATTTTAATTTAAAATTTTAATTGATTATTTTATTATTATATTTATATAGTTTTTTTGAAGAAAAAAATATTTTTTATCCTCCCGCAAACACTAGCTGGAATCAACTTTTGAATTTTAGAGATTCATAGCGATTTGAAGCGATTTATAGCGTTTTTTGTGATTGTTGCAAACGTCAACAACAGATACCAACCGCAAAAACTGCGTTTGAGGGTGATGGTTTCCATTTTTTAAAAAATATGTAAATCTCAATTTCTTTTTGTTTCTTAATAGTGTTAACATTCTTAGCAAAAAAAAACAAAAAATTAAACAACAAATCGGTAACAGAAACTGTTTGGTTTAGTTCAAAAAAAAAACAGAAACTGTTTGGAAGGAAACAAGAGCGATGGACCAATGAATAAGACATGTTTGGACCGGAACGAAACGAGTGGATATAAATTTAGCCCGCACGTGACGGGTGGTGGCTTCAAGTGTCGTAACTCTCTCACTCTCACGTGCGCGCACGTGTTAACCCTCATTATTTTCTCGATCCCTATAAGAAAAAAATATCTACCAATCAATCCATCCACATCAGATGTAGACGACAATGGAATAGCAAAAAGATGGCAAACACTGTGCTCTTTTTAATTTATCTTTTGAAAAATACGATACCAACAAAATATCTATATAACATATGCACCGTTTAAATAATTATTTAAAATCAATAGTATCTTGTGAAATGTGACATTCAATAATTGTAATTTGTCTTTATGTATTCTCGTAAGCGTACAAATTAAGTTGTAGACATTTATACCCATCTTATTTCTATTCTGGTTTCAAGCTATTTTGTTCTGAAGGAGTTGTATTTACTGGTAAGAACACTAGAAGGAAAGCAAAAAGAGAATGTTGGAAGCTAGACCCCAAAAAATACTAACAACAAAGAATGCTTTTGTTTGATTCCAAGAAGATTAATTTCGTGGTTTCATCTTTTTGTCTGAACATCCATGAAATGGAGACGTGTAGCTCTTTCTTCCGTTCATCTAATCATCTTTTTACGAGGTCCATCGTCATTGTTACACTAAAGTTTATAATTCTTTAACTCTTTTCTTATTGCGCAATGACCCTAATGTTTTCCAAAAGCTGGAGATACAAAAATAGGATAACCACGACGCGTTAATCTGGTGATGAACGGCTAGCAGCTGTAAGTACGACCCTAAGTTTGATTTGTATTGGTCATCGAGAATTCTTCGGTCCGAGGAGAACAACACATGATATGGAATACTCAAACCGAAACTTCGCCAAAAGCTTTAAGCGTATCATGTGACTAGTCTAGACCACATAAGTGGAGTCATGATATTCTTCGTAAATTAAAAATAAGGATTGAGAATATGATGAAGAGACTGACTCATACGTGATATTAACACATTTCAGGTGATTTATTTAGAAAAATATTTTATACTTTCGCAGCACATGCCCCAACTAAAACTATATATGAACCGGGTTTGCTCTCAGCAATTAGACTATCATGGATATCTGACATCATACAGATCGATAGTTTTCATTTTGTATGAAATAGAATTACTTTTTTTTTTTGGTCAAACGTATGAAATAGAATTACAAAAGTCAGTAATCATGCAAAGCTTTTTATTTCAGAGGGAACATAAAAATGATAAAGTCGTGTAGAACTCTCTACATACCTACCATATATCGGTTGTTATATTATTATATACTTGTTAATAAAAATATTTCGAACGTCATACATAGCTATAATATCACATACCAGCACTTGGTAATACTTGTTACAGCGTCACCATCTTTCTTTATTCGAAACTCGAATTTAGAGCAAGGATTTAACCTTTTTTTTTTGTTTTAATAAAAGATCAAATATTATACCAAATTTTTTGTTTTGTTGACACACTGTACATATAAGAACTAGTAGTGGAAAATAAACATCAAGGAGACTCGGAAAACAACTAGGACAACAACAAATGAAAACGAGAACGAGTGACACAATGCAAGCGATTAACAAGATTAATAACGATTTAATTACTTGGTCTGAGTATTCACTTTTGAGATTAGTAAGTGTAGAACAAAGATCGATAGAGAATAAGTGTGTTTAGAAGATTTAGATGAGAGATTTGAAGATTAGTAGTGTGGCAAAAAAGAATAGAGAATGAAAGACTAAAACTCCATTGAATTTATTAATGATGCGAGTACAAGATATATAAAGTGAATTAAGTAATTGTATGTACTTTTTGTTAGAGACATAATATAGTGACGTATTAATATGGGATTCTCATTTTCTTATTCCAAAACTGCAACAAGTTGATGATAGACAAACAGAAAAAGAGAGCAAGAAAATGACTGTAGAGAAGATCAACATATCAATATTGCGTTTGAGTTTTGTCATAAACAAAACCTAACTCCAAATCATTAACTTCCAGAGTGGCCAGGCATGATGCATAAACCTTGTCTTGTTTCCATTCTATGGACCCCATCCCTATAAATAATACTCATAAATTGTAATCGACAATATTACTTTATAAGGATAACGATTGATCCATCTCAAAGGGGGTCAAATGCCATCGTCTTGTTTTCTATATTACATGTTTAGTCTCTCTCACCATGTGAATTATCAACACAATTGTTTTTTGTTTGTTAGCTAGCTAGCAGGGAACATATAATATGGGCCTTAAACTATAGTTGGGCCTAAATATCTAAACAAGTTAAGCCCAACTTGATCTGCTTTAATTTTTGTAAAGGCAGACTCAATCGTCGTCGGTCTAACGTTTGCTCTCAATCTCAACAATGGCGACGGAATCGCCGAGTTCCGTTCGGAAAAGTAAGTAATTGATTTCGTCATCGAAGAAGATTTTGATTACTAGCTTTGTATACTCTATTACGGCACCGTTTTGATCGTATCTATTTGTTTTTTTTTTGTTTGTCACAGTTGTTGTTCATCTAAGAGCTACGGGAGGTGCTCCAATACTGAAACAGAATAAGTTCAAGGTATTAGCTTCTTTCGAAATCAATCACATTCTCAGAGACTTGAATTTGAGTTGGGATTAGGGTTTATGTTTGTTCAAACCTTCCATTAGCGGCTTAGAACGTTGTAAATTGTGTTGAAATCATTTGTGTGAAGGATCTAATACTGAGATTATCTTCTGAGACCATATAATATATAATACTCATAATTGAAATCATTTCTTCATTGGCTTTTGTTGTTTGATTGGATCTCAGATGCATTCATAGATTTGTAGTTAGTTTTTATTTTTTTATTTGATATGGTTGGAGAGTTATATATATGTGTGGTCTGGTTTGTGTTGTGTTCAGATTTCAGGGACGGATAAGTTTGCTAAAGTGATTGATTTTCTAGGGAGGCAGCTTCACTCTGATTCATTGGTGATCATTTTTTTTCTTTAAATCAAAACCATTTTTTTTGTGTGTTATCTTTTGAAACATTGTACTGATATCTCTTCTTCTCTGTTTGTAAGTTTGTGTATGTGAACAGTGCTTTCTCGCCAAACCCTGATGAATCAGTAATTGATCTATACAGTGTAAGTAATTTTCATCTTCCCTCTGGTTTCTCTCTTCAATATGCTTCTGACATTAGTTTAGTTCTACATCTTCCATCTTTTTATTTTAGCTTTAACCCTGGCCTTTGTTTTGATCTTTAAATTGGATACTAGTATATCAGTTTTTCCTATTGCCGAGGCCACTTTCTTCTCTTTGCTCTGCTTTTTCCTGGTAGAAAACGTTATAAGCTTAAAGAATGTCTGTTAAAAAATTGCAGAACTTTGGGATAGATGGGAAACTGGTGGTGAACTATGCTTGTTCCATGGCATGGGGATAAAAAACCAAACGATGTTCACCATCATCAGAGCTCTGAGTACCTCATGTTGTCTATGTCCAACAATTATGGGATCTGCAAAAGATGATACTACTGCTACTTTGTTTGCTAGGAAACTTCTTTGTACATTCTTTAGGAACTGGCTATCTTCATCTTTTAATTTTTTTTCACTCAGAATATACATTACAAAAAGCAACGATTTCAGCGGTGATTCTCTATCATATATATCTAACTGGTTTATACTTGACAGATTGTTTCAATCATACTTGCTAGTTTTGTGTAAATACTGAACCAAAAGAAAAACAATTAAGAAAGGATTAGGTATGTGGAATTCGGTTTGATTGATTTGTATTTTCGGTAGTCTCATTCGGATTTTACATTTTCAGGTCGGATTTGAATCTAATAACCGATGTTGAAATCTGCCCAAAATATTTTAAAAAAAGTTTTTGAAAATGAAAAAAAAAAACTAAAAACAGTACAAATTATTTAAATTACATAAGCTAATTAAATACTGTAAAATATATGAAGTACTTTAATAAAATTATTAATATATTTAATCAGTTTTAGATTTTGGTTTGATTAGAGTTGTATCCGTGTACCAAATTTTTAAGTGTTATTTCGATATTCTTTGAATAACGATTAAGATGGGATTTAGCATTTGTTTAGAAGGATTATGATCTGTATATCTTACTCTTGGGAGTAATTACAGCTGAAATCTAATTAAATTTACAATTTTCCCCCAAAATTTCTCCTTAATCACTCTCTCTCTCTCTTTCACATCCCCCAGATTTAGCCCTAAGCCGTTACTTCCCCCTCTCTCCCTCTCTCTGCATTTTCCCGGAAAAAAAAAAAAATTACCAATCTGCTGCGAAAAGACAAAAGTATTCCTTGTATGGTCAAATTGTTCGTCAATAGACCTTCCTCCCTCTTTCCTCCATTTAATCTCCAGAAAAAGAAAACACCAATCATCATCTTCCGTCTCCTTTCCGCGTTGACCAGATCTTTTCTTCTGATGCTACAATCAGACGACGCCAATTCCACCATGCGCTAACGGCAAAAGGAAGAAGCTTCTTTTTCTTTAAGAGTCTTTGTGATTGATCTGGATCGACGTTTGGTGATAGATGGGGTTTTTGAATATCGTTTTACTTGTGGCCATGATTCTCAGTTTCAATACCTTCCTCCTTGCTCAATCACAACAAGATCAAGATCAAGATCAAGATCAAGATCAACCCCAATCTCCTCCTTCATTTTGGGAGCCTCGATCTCCGCCTCTTGAATCTGGCATTACGCAACCTCCTCCTCCTCCTCCGCCTCAATCCAGTGCTGTCATTATAGAGTCTCCTCCTCCACCACCATCTCCATCACCTCCTCCTCGGCCGCCGCCACCACCATCGCCATCACCTCCTCCTCCGCCTCCTCCTCAGAATGCGCTAGCTTCTCCTCCACATTCTAGCAGACATAGACCACGGAGGTTATGGCCGCCGCCACCTCCTCCGCCTCAACGGACATTCAAGCAGTCGGAGAAAAGCGGGTTGAACACAGGGAAAACGGTTGGTTTGGTATTCGCTGGATTCGCGGGACTGCTGCAGATCTGCGTGGTTGCCTTCTTGGTTTTCAAGAGGAATCAGCTCTTAAGGATGACACATACTTACTGATCTGGAGAGAATATATATACACAATTAATTGAATTTTCATTCATAGCCTGGAAAAAAAAAGAAAAACAAAACATTCTTGATGAATTTTTGAGAAGATCAACAAAGAAGAAGCATACATTCTTGATGTTTTCCTCTTTATCGGATCAAGAATATAGCCTTTTTCTCCTCCTCTGTAAATGATGGGTATCGATTTGTCATTCTTTTTTCTTTGTATTCTATTTTTCCTTCTTTAAAAGGTTTTGTGTAGTTTTTTTTCGTTTACATACCCTCCTAACAAGATATGCTGCTAACTAGAGTCAAACACAGAGGTCGGGAGGGGGGGAAGGAGATATGGGTTCTCTCAAGTCATTTGTATAATTGTTTTTAGGCGATTCGATTCTGTGTGAGAAATGAAAAACCAATATCTAACTTCGTTCTTGAATGTTTTTGTTTCATTCTCTAAAGGTTGTGTTCGCAGAATATTGTACTGTTATTTCGGTTTGTTTGTGTGATGTTATAGTGAGAAATCAAGGCAGGGTATGATAGGATGATCATGTCTCTCTTTCTCAATGTTTTTGCTTTTCTCAGAAACTAGACAGATTCCTTGTCTGTTCTCTTAGGTTTTGAGTTTTGACATTTTTTTTTGGTAAGAGGAACCGATCAGCCCGTAACTGGTAGCTCTCGGAATCAGCAAGTGTTGAATCTTTCGTGTTTGGTAGCTCTTGTAATTTAGAATCAGAGTCTGTCTAATCTGTAGTTCTGCATCTTCCTATGTAATGTTGAGATCTCGGTTTGGTTAGAGCTGGTGGTATTGTGTATTTGAAGAGCTTTGGGTTTACTACTTACTATACACCGATCATGACTAGTTAATAGTTTTTTTTTGGAAATTTCTGGTGTTGTGAAAGTTTCATGACCAGATTCGTGTTAGGAGGACACATGGTTAAAGATGATGATCTTGTTCCCTACAAAGGAAGTATTTTAATACGCGTTCTTGCTTGGCATGACTAACCAAAGATGTGCTGGTTTTGATCTGGACTTGATTCCCCTCACAGAATCTTCGTTGGCAACATGCCTTTTTAAATGCTAACTAAACATATAGACTATAGTATCTTATAATTCAATATTATTTTGTTGGAATAAAGTATAATCAGTGTTGTGTAATGATTCCAAGTAATCATACGCACGTCAAAGCTTTTACATACTTAATGGATCAAGAGTCATGATACTGGCCTTTCTAACTCTCCCTCTTATGCTACTAAAAAGAAACACATGCATGCAAGTATACAACCAAAAGTTGTATATGATTATTTATTTTCTCAATAAACGACAAGATGTTGTTATAACGTAGGTCAAATGATGTTTGGTTTGACTGGCTTTGCAATGAGGTTATAAAAAAAAACTGAAGATGCTTGCATCCTAAGAAACAAATCAAATATAACCCTCACAAAAGTTATGTTCACTTTTGTGTTTCTGTCAGCTACATCAGAGTGCGATAATAGGAAACAGTAGCAGGAAAACATAAGCAAAGAGAGAAAAACACGCAGAGAGATAATATATATAAATGTCGGATCACTTGTCTTGTTGGACCCAACACACACACACATGGAGATACATATAGGTTTCTGCAAAACAGTGTCTTGTCTCTCAATGTTTCACGGAAATAGATGTGGTTGAAGTATGACCCTTCAACATTACTAACTTGTGTGAGTGTGTGTTGGTGCAGCAGACCCATCATTGATGATACCTTAGCTTCAATCAGCTACCTGAGAGAGAAACAATATTTAAAAAAAAAAATTTGTCAGTACATTGAATCTGTTATTATCTAGCTATTAGCATAGGATCAGAATGTAGGTTACTACTAACCAGTGTCGAGTCTTGAGTGGGAAGAAAGGTCAAGCCAAGAATCTGAACTGTTCTTGTTCTGAGCCCAATCCTCACCAAAGAAATGATGAAGAGACTTCTTGGTTTCCGATGAATCTTTCTCCTCCTCTTCATGATCTTGTCTAGATGTGTTTGCGAAGACGGTTCTTGTGGGTTTGTTGAACATGTCAGCTCCCAAAACGAAACATTGCTGCTGTTGTTGTTGCTGTCGATGATGGTCTTGATCATGTTGATGTTGAGATGATGATGATGCGGATGAGTATGTGTGATGATGATCAACCTTATGATCAGTGCTACAGTGGTACGGGTCATTCATTACTGTTGCTAACGGTTGTTGGTGATGGTATGGAGAATCTTGAAAGCTTCTAGAAGCTTCTGGAAAGAAAGTTCTCTCCCCAACTCCAACTCTCTCCCCAATCCCTTGAAAATATCTGATATCATAATCAACAGAAAAAAATATTTTCAAGAGTTAACAAAATAGTAGTCATAAAACAAGGGAAATGAAATTAAAAAGACACAGAACCTGAAGTCTTTGTGGTCAGTTGCAGAGGCTAAGACATTGAACTGAGAAGCAGTAGTTGTGTTTTGATGAAGAGACAAAGCAGAAGCATGATGAAGAGTTTGTTGTTGTTGCTGTTTAGGTGAGGACAAAGGATAAGGATAATCAAGGGAATGGTTGTTGAAGTAACCTCTACTGTTACTACTACCAACACCAAGCCTGTTGATATTACTGTAAGCATCCATAGAAGGAGATGAAGAAGAAGCAGAATAAGTAGAGGAAGAAGAAGACAAGGTAGGGCTTGGGTTGATGTTGTTGTTGTTGTTGCTGGGGAAAGAGAGAGATGGTGATGTTAAAGGAGGAGTTGTCTGATTCTGATCAATAGATTTTCTGGTACGGTTCCTTCCTCTGTGCATGTGTTTTTCACAGTACTTTGAGTCTGGGTATGCTTCTCTTGAGCATCTCCATTTCTTACCATCTGTTCTTCTGCACCTTCCTGGTTCTGGATCTGGTTTTCTACCAAATCCCATCTGATAGCATCCCCACCCAACTGCCATCATTCAATTAACCAAGAACCTAATATTAATCATGATGTTTCATGTAAAGCCCTAGCTTAAGACCTTAATTAATTATCCATTATCAATAAAAGTAGGAAGATAAAGTTAAGACAAACACTCAAACACACAAAAGCTGCAAAACTTCTAGAGGCATGAGAATCAACAAAAGTATGAAACAAACTTTATGTCAAAAAAGAAAATAAACAAAATAGAAAAATAATATTAGAGTTTAGGGCGTACTGGATTGGTGAGGGAGGAGTCTAGAGACCAAGGAAGAATCCAAGCTTCTTCTAATTGAGAAGATGAGCTCAGGTGGGACAGGAACTCCTGAGACCATGTACTTGTAAATTAGGGCTTGATTCTCCAGTTCTTGCCATTGTGTTGGTGTAAATGGAGGCCTCTCTACTGCTCTCCCACTACTTCCACTTAGACTCATCATCTTTGCTATTCTTCTTCTCTAGCTTTCCTCAAAGGGTTTATGTAGAATATCAAAAGAGTATAAAAGGAGAAATAAAGAGCTTTTCTTGATAGCTTCAGAGATTATCTAGGGTTCCTGAGTTTAGGACAGAGACAGACAAAGAAGACCAACACTTTCTCTGCCACTTTTTCTCTTTGGTTTGATATCTTTCTCTCTCTCTCACTAAAGATATATTCCTTAGATGCAATTTGCATGAACACTAGCTAGCGTCTCCCTCTTCACAAGGCCATACCCTCTTTTATATATACTAATATATTTTCTGTAGTTAACTATACAACAAAGATTACTATACAATAATTAGTCAGACTCTATTACTATGAAGCAAATTAGAGGGAGATAAAATATTAATAAAAACAAAATCATGATTTTTATATGGTTGATAGTTAAATCAAAGAGTTATATCACAAAACATTCATAAAAGAAAATCTAAGATAGATAGATGTCAATAGAAAATGTCAGATGTGGACAAGAGCTTTTAAGGGGTTTTGCCATGTAGTGTAAAATCAAAACAACATTAAAATATCCAATATTGTAAATGTTAAAATAGATAGATAAAAATGTAAGGAGGGGAAGAAGAGTGTGGTCCTATAAAGACTGGCAAATCTGAAGAGACTCAGGCCCAGTGTTCCTGTTGCTTCTTCTGCAGCACTTGATGCTCCTGTCTCTCTGACTACTCTTTCCTCTCCTCCCCTCAATTTTTTGTTTCTCAATAGTCTTCATTCAATATTACCCCCCATTTATTTAAGATTATTTAGTTATAATAAATAAAATTTGATTTTTGGGAATCTTTTTTCTTTCTTTGAACAGATGCTCTTTTATAATTTCAGCTGTATCCCAATACTTGATGGCCTAAAAATGTGTGCCATTTCCTTTTTACTGAACTCTTTTTAAAAACAATAATTTACATTTATTGAACCCTGATATTACTGACTTACAGCAGAGGAAAATCAGATAGATAAAAACAACTGATAGATGTGTTGAAAAAAAAAAGAATTGACGAGTATCACTGAACAAATCTCTGACTCGAGAAAGAAAGAATCAAACTCCTTTTTAACGATTTATAAAATATTTACGCGGTGCTGACTTACTAAAGAAAACAATATAATTAAAATTTAATAATAATTGACAATTCATTTTCTTGTCAAACAGTCAAAGTTTGATTAGTTTTCTCATGGTGCATAATGTAGAAATGTGGTGTTGTTTGACAAGGTGTCAACATGGTAAATATGAAAGAAAGAAAAGGGTGTTTAGATGAGATATAGAGAGCAGTCAAGAGACCATTGGATAAAGAAGGGGACTAGGTTTGTTTGGTTGCAAGTGAAGTGAAAGTACTTTTGTCTTTTTTCAAAGTGTTAAATATTTTGTCGTTTTTATTAAATATTTTTTCAGGCATTAAGTTTGTGGAATAGGAATAAGAAAGAAGAGGAAGGCATGTGAAGAATCAGAAATACTTCAGAGAGGGTTGGGGTCATTAATTTGCAGAGAAAATAAAAAAAAAGAGTAAGACTGTTCAGTACTCTGTTTGTTTCTCTGTCTCATTTCACATGCTCTGTCCTTTTCTCTCCTTTTTTGAAGCCCCCTAGATCTTTCGTCTTACACACCTATAAATCTACTATTCTATGCATACTCACTCACATACACAATTGCATATAACGAGTGTACACATACATAGTTCACACATGCATAAACTAAAATATATGCATGTTTCTCAAAACAAAAATCTTTCTCAAAATTTTAGTTTTCTAAAACAGTTGTGAAGATTCAAATAGTTATAGATGAGAAGAAAAACAAAGTTGGATTAATAATATTTTTCTTTGATTAACTTTAATGTAAAAGGATTTGTGAAACTGAACTTGTAAGGACAGAGAAATATATTTACAAAAAAAAATTGAACGATAAAGTTGATTTTCTTTTCGAAGTTAGTATTCTGAATTGGTCTAACTGTTAGATATATTCTGAGATTTTGCAAATTTTTGTTTTTAGTGTGTCATGAGGCAGAAAACCAATTAAAGGAATTAAGCATCATACTTAACATATTTCAAGTAATACGTTGTTATATTATGAAAGATGTAATTAGGTGTCTAACACAAAGAGTGCTAAACATGTAGCCAAATCTGTCGGGGTTGGTCAAACCGACGATCCTGATGTGAATAAGGCAGATGAATAAGGTGGAAACCTTTGGACTTGGGGATATTTCCATTTTAGAGCATAAGTTTCCATTTTAGTTATTCATATGCATCATCATCATCATCATCTTTACTTTTTTTTCCTTCTTACCTTGTTTTTATTAGGTTTCATAAGAAACTAAATTGAAAGTGGAGAGTTATAGTGAGGCAGATATTATAGGGCAAGAGACCTACCTCCTTCTCTCCCTTTGACTCACATTTACCCATTTCTTTTTTTTCAATTTCATGGTATATTGACATGTAAATAGTGAAAAAACTATACCCTAACTTTCTCTCTAGGCCTCTAGGGTTTTTACGAGTTGTTTATTTTCCTTTTAACTATAAAGTGGATATAGCTTGCTTTTGATCTATCCAATCACATAAATAGACAGCAATTTACGACATGGCTCCATCTATATATTAAAAGAAATGAGATCTATATTTAGTTCCTGATAATAATTCTCTCTCTCTCTCTCATAATGAAATGCTTAACGTTTTTTTTGTAAACCATGTTCATGAAAGATTGTCGATAAAGTTGTTGTTTTCATTTTCATCCGCATATATTTTATTTATTAACCGGAACTATCATTTTTTATTGGAGTTTAATTAGATGATATTGTATCCATTTAGAAAATGCTTTACGTTGCAGTGGTAAAATAATATGTTTCTTTAGCTAGACTTATTACAAGATGCTTGTGTTCATAATCTACATAGAAAATTATTAATCAAGCGAATGTAGTAGTAACTTAACAATACAAACCGCATACAAATGCAACCTTATTATAATAATGGACATGCATGAGAGACTTATATTATAGTAATCACACTAATAACTCATTTCATATGTGGGTTTTGAGCCACATGTTCCTCTTCTTCGTTAATGGGCAGGAGATGGAGTCATTGGCAGCAGCCGTCGAGGGGACCGTCGTCGACGTGGGCAACAACAACAACATATGAGACAAATAAGCCAACCTAAGAACCGAACTAGTTGGCTTACAAGTATTATAACAGGAAACACGATCCAGAATCCCACATAAATAACTAGTATAGAGATGATTGTATCATCTTCATACTGAACCAGTGCGACAGCGAAGAAAAACGCCGCCGATATGCAAAGAATTGCTACGACCATAAATGTTACAAGGATCGCCATTATCATCCGGTTCCTATATAACAAACATCATCAGATTCTTAATTATTATCTCAAATAAACATTAAATAACACTTTATGAAATTTATTTGTCATAGACTCATAATCCTTTTGTCCAATCATATAGTGATGAGTCAAAAAAAAATTTAAGTAGACTCATTTGTTGAATTAAGTAAGCTATTAGACTAATACAATCATATATTATATTAAATCACAGTTAACAATCTAATATCATCCTTTTGTAAATTTAAAGAGTAAAAATATATATGTTTGAGTGTCATCGTCTTGCATTAAAAAAATCCACTATATCATCTACTAGGCGGGCGTTCGGTGTCGCATTTGGTTTCGGTCCGAATGATTCGGATTTTTGATGTTATGTTCATAAGTACCATTCGTTTTTTTACTAATTATCGGATCAGATTCGGTTTGGTTCCTTCCGAGTTCGGTTCGAATCAGATCTAACTAATGTTTAAAATCGTCCAAAAATATATATTTTTAAACCCTCGAAAATTGACAAAAAAATTCAAAATATATAAATTGTTTACAAGTCTAATTAAAAATTAGTTAAACTATTTAAATTAACTAAAAATTATTCAAAATAACTAATAAAACAAACTACAAAACTATTTTGAATACTCTAAAATATCTAAATCACCTTAACATATACAAAATATTGATATATTTAACTAATTTCGGTTATCTTCGGTTCGGGTTATAACCAAAGTCCAAAGTAGTAAAGCTCATAAGTCCCGTTCGAATATTTTTGTAAAATAGTTCGAATTCGGTTTTGATTTTTCCGGTTCAGATTGAGATAAAAACGCCGAGGCCTATCATCTACAGATCATCATAACTTATCTACTGGTAGTGACCAAATGATCTGTGGCATATGTACTTTATTCAACTACTAATACCTGAGACGTAATCCAATGATGACAAGTAGAATGAGGCTCATGGAGGCAGAAAACGAAACGGTACTACTAATAACCATTCCAAGATAAAAGACACGTTTCGAACTCTCGTGCTCCAATACTGAAGTTCCCGCTTTCGCCTTACAAACCGGTACGGTGCCGGTTTGATCTCCAGAGGAACAGATATCACTTTGCCATACACCACCAGGAGGACTAACCATAACTTGAAAGCTCATACCAGCTATAACCGTCGCTGCAACCATAAGATTTCCTCTTGTTTTTTCTAACCAATCACCTTGACGATTTAAATACTTTACAAACCAGTGAAACCATGTTTCTTCATATCGATCTTCTCCACCGTTAACTTCCATGATTCAGCTATAGATGTCTGACAAGAATGTTTTTTTGTTTTCTTGTATATGAGTTACTTCTCTTTTCATCGACATTATAAAGGGAAAAGAGAATGAATATTGTGTTATAGGAAGGGACGTAGAAATTGCTGGTTTGATGACCAAAGTCTTTATTTAATTTGAAACTATTTTTTCTGTTGATCATAGGATTAGAGAAATATTTAAGTTGACATCTTTTTTTTGATCGATAGAGTCAATGATACTGACATTAGAAAGGAAACCTCGTTTGTCATTTTTTTGCTTGTTTGTAAACAGAATTCTACGTTAGAATACTAATTGTACAAACATCAATTTGACTTTGGATGTGTACGTATATATGTTTTTTGTCAACGGCCTTAACTTCCGAATGATTATGTGTTTAATGATAGAATGCTTTGGTTATAGATTGTATTTGGTATACTTAATTGAGATCACAGTCTTAAGCCACACTACGTGACAATGCAATCACAATTCCATCGAGCCACCAACTCAGCTCATCAAGTAGACATGACAATAGAAGAAACACAAAGGACACCATTCACAACTCACATTATCAGTATCCCTATCCAAAACATCAAACTTAAGATTCCCCAATACGACAGAAAAATGGTCTCACAAGCTCACATGACCGCTTTTCTGTATTGCAATGGAGTGAAGGCGTTTCAAGGATGGAAAACGAGATGTTGGTTACTACCAACTCTTTGTTGAAAATTTGAGAGGAGCAGTTCTCAAACTGATTTCTAGATTGCAAGTAAATACCAGCAACTATTTCAACCAGTTGTCAGTGCCTCAGTGGTGTTATTCTATGTTCATAAAGAAATGAGCTTCTGGCACCGATTTGTGGACGATGTGCCAAAATGAATAAGACCTGTTTCGCTCGTTCATTGAAAAGTTCAACGGGTTGTAATTTTTTTGCTGGGTCCTTTCGCCACATGACGACTTTTATTGGTTATCCAAATTTTTTATTTTTTGTCTCCATACAAATATTTTGAACTCGTTTATTTTATAATAAAATGCATTTTTAAAGAAGAATAACTATACCAAAATTTATGATTTCTATAATTTATAAATAAAAACTAATCTCTGTTTCTGGATACATAAAATGTCATTCTTCAATATAATCAATTATCTCGATGTTTAAAGTGTTTTGTTTTGTGAAACATATCCCAATAATAATAAATCCTTTTAACACCCACCATTTTTTAAATTTATTTCTAACTATTCAAATTCCAACAATTATCAATTTTAAAACTAAACTTCCAACTAACTCATAACTTGGTAATTTTTATTTGCTTCAATAATATTAATTTAGTACTAACCTTAAAAATTAGTCAAGAAAATAAACACAAAAAAATAAAAAAAAATATGCCACTTAAGTTCTCTAAGTTAATTACAGACCAAATTACTATTAAATGTAGCTATTAAATTATAAAATAAAAATAGGAATTAAAAATTATGAAAATGTCGAATTTTATCAAACACAAATATTATAGAGGTGAAAAATAAAGTGGGTATCGAATAATTAGGTGAAAAAAATAGAATATATATGATGTGAAGTGAAGTGTACAAAAAAAAAAGAATGTGTTAGAATTGTTACAACCATTACATATGGTGTTACGAGATGCTTGTGTTCATGATTTACTAACAAAATTATTAATCAAGCGAATGTAGTAGTAACTTAACAATGCAAACCGCATACAACCAAGTGATCAACCTTATTATAATAAATTAACTAGATTTTGACCCGCGCTTGAAAGCGCGGAAATTTTTTATGATTAAAAATTTATATAATTGGGTTTTGTCTTAATTTAAAGAATATTTTGATATAAAATCAGTTCACCAAAATTTGTGGTGATGATTGTTTTTCATTAGTTTTTAGTTTTATTTTTAGATTTTGGTTTTTGGTTTTTAGTTTTTAAGTTTCTACTTTTCATTTTCAGTTTTTGGTTTGGGTTTTTAATTTTTAAACCCGCTAAGTTAGTTTGAACTAATATTACCAACAAACAAATCTCAAATAATCGAACATCTAATTTAAAACTGAAAAGATGATAACAAATTTTTTTTAAAAAAAATTGAAATAGTTTATTTTGTAAATAAACAAAGCAAAAAAATATAACATGTGTTTTCAGCTTTTGGTTTTGGATTTTAGTTTTTAGATGTGGTTTTTGGTTTTGCTTTACATTTTTTGAATCAGTAAATTATTTAAGAAAAATAAAACAATAAATTATTTAAAAGTTACCATTGAAATTTATCAAAACAAAGTGATTGTTATTTAAAATAAAAAAAATATATTAACATGTTTTAAAGTACATGATTTAAATAAATGATTAATAATAGATAATTTTGTTTTGTTAAAAATATTAAATAACTTTTGAGTCTGAAAATAATAATTGATTTTTTGATCTTTCAAGGTGAAAAGTTTATTCAATGTTTTTGGAGTTTTTTTCTTAATACTAAGCCCAAAAACCAAACTATATAATTTGTTCAGAAAATAAAAGTAATCCCAAGACTATATTTCATAAATAACCACTGGTTTAATTTAAGTATAATTAGTAGATTTCCATATTTTGATGATATATATTCTTCTAAAACATTCCAAATTTGTAGGAGAAAATATGTGTTTTTGGTATACACATAGATACCTGCCGTATTTTGAAGGTAATTTTCATTAACGTTGTGTCTTTACATTAATTGTGTTGGTTTAATTTAATTAATACTGTTCAATCAATTATATGATTTATATTATTTGTAACATTCTAGAAAGAGTCCAAATTTAAATGACAACTTCTATCAGTAGATAAAAAGAAGGACTCTATTTTAATAGAGTAGATAATGAACATACATGGGAGTCTTTTATTATGAGCACAAACACCATAACTCATTTCTTATGTGGGTTTTGAGCCACACGTTCCTCTTCTTCGTTAGTGTGCAGGAGATGGAGTCATTGGCAGAAGCCGTCGAGGGGACCGTCGTCGACGTGGGCAACAACAACAACATATGAAACAAATAAGCCAACCTAAAAACCGAACTAGTTGGCTTACAAGTATTATAACAGGAAACACTATCCAGAATCCCACATAAACCATTAGTATATAGATGATTTTATCATCATCATACTGAACCAATGCGACAGCGAAGAAAAACGCCGCTGATATGCAAAGAACCGCTAGTACCATAAATGTCACAAGGATCGCCATTATCATCCGGTTCCTATATATAATCATCAGATTTTAATTTTTAATCTTAAAACAGAACACACACAAAAAAAAAAAAAAACTTAAAACCAAACAATTATTACTTAATTAATTCCTCTGAATTTCCACAGAAACGTTAATTCTACGATCTATAGAATTGATTTATCATAGACTCGTAATCATTTAGTCCAATCAAATAGTGTTTAGTCAATACTTTGAGGGTTTTTTAACCTATTATTAGACTATTTATATTGAACTAGTTTAAGTCAACTATTGGACTAATACAACCATATATTATATTTAAATCACAGTCAAGAATCAAATATTATCCATTTATACATTTAAATAATAAAAATACTAACGACTCTTTGAATACCATCTTCTTGTAGCTTAGAACACATACATTTTCCAAACACAAAAAAAAAATTACTAATCATCTACAAATTATCATAATTTATCTATAGGTAATGATCCTATTATATATATGAGCTGTGGCATAATACCTGAGTCGTAATCCACTGATGACAAGTAGAATGAGGCTCATGGAAGCAGAAAACGAAACTGTACTGCTAATAACCATTCCAAGATAGAGGCCACGTTTCGAACTCTCGTGCTCCAATACCGAAGTTCCCGCTTTTGCCTTACAAACCGGTACGGCACCGGTTTGATCTCCAGAGGAACAAATATCACTTTGCCATACACCACCAGGAGGACTAACCATAACTTGAAAGCTCATACCAGCTATAACCGTCGCTGCAACCATAAGGTTTCCTCTTGTCTTTTCTAACCAATCACCTTGACGGTTTAAATACTTTACAAACCATTCTGATGCTTCTTCGTATTGATCTTCTCCAGCGTTAACTTCCATGTTTCAAAGCTATATAGATATCTGCCAAGACTGTTTTAGTTTTCTTGTATAGTTTTATTATATATGTAACTTCTCTTTTCATCGAGATTATAAAGGGAAGAAATGAAAGTTGTGTTATTAGGAAGGGAGGTGGAAAGTTCTGGTTTGATGAACCAAAGTCTTTATTTGAAATGTTGTTTGTTGATCACGGGATTAAAGAAATATTTTAGTTGACATTTTTTTTAATTCAGTCAATGATATTGACATTAAGCCTCCTTTGACATCTTTTGTTCCATGCTTGTTTTTGCAAACAGAGTTCTAGGTTTTTAGGTTTAGAATACAAATTGTACAACATCAAAGTTGACGTTGGATGTGTAGAACACAAGAATACTGAAGAAGAAATACTTTACTGAGAATACTTTTATTGATTTCAACTTGGGAATAACGTTACAACCTCATCACCTATTTATACAACTTGACAAATTTAGTATGCCCTAACACATGATTGGAGAGCATCGAATCTATTGGAGATGATGATTTGGTGAGCTGGATATGAGACCGTTGCGGTCATGACTTGTACCTCCTTTTGTCTCATCCGTTGAACGTCTTTTGCATGACCAGAAGAGCAAGACAGAGTTGATTTTGTCGTGTCTTGCTTATGGGCTTCACTGGGCCGGACATGAGACAAGGAGATGGGCTTAGTATTGTTAATACACCCCCTCAAACTTGGGGTCGGATGAAAGGTGACACCAAGTTTGTTCCGAAGCCTTAGAAACGCGTCATGACCAAGTGACTTGGTAAACACATCTGCAAGTTGCAGAGTTGCAGGGATGTGTTTTACCTCCAAAGCTTTGAGTGCGACTCTCTCTCGAACATAGTGGTAGTCGACATCAAAGTGTTTGGTACGCTTATGGAACATCGGGTTAGCAGTAAGACACACTGCAGAGAGATTGTCACAGAGTAAGAGAGGAGTCCGTTGTTGCTGAAGTCCCATAACACGAAGAAGATTCTGAAGCCAAACAATCTCAGCTGCTGCAGTAGACATAGTACGATACTCAGCTTCAGTTGATGACTTAGAAACCGTCTCATGGCGCTTTGCAGACCAAGAGATAACATTAGAACCAAGTAGAGTACAAAACCCTCCAGTGGATCGTCGAGTATCTTTACAACCTGCCCAGTCACTATCACTGTAGCAAAGCAAAGTAGAATCAGTGTTTGCTTTAATACCTATACCCATAGCCAGAGTCCCTTTAACGTATCTGAGTATACGTTTCAATAGGCTGAAATCTGACTGACTTGGCATATGCATCCTTTGACAGATGAAGTTAACCGCAAATTGAAGATCCGGTCTTGTTAAAGTAAGATACTGAAGCTTTCCAGCTAAGCTTCTGAAGTAAGACGGGTATGAGAAAAGTTGATCTTGACCTTGAATTTTATCTAGCTTCACCGGCAAGGGAGTGATTATAGGAGCACAATGCTGCATTCCTGCAGTAATCAGAAGGTCTGTGGCATACTTTTCTTGATTTAGGAATAACCCCTCTGCATGATGATGAACTTGAATGCCGAGGAAGTAATGGACTGATCCCAAATCCTTCATTCGAAAGTCTTTATTCAACTGAACCAACAGTGTATCCAGCAGACTATTGTTGTTGCCGGTAACAATCATATCATCAACATAAAGTAGCAGATATATGATGTCTGAACCTCTGTGATATATGAAGAGTGACGGATCAGGGAAGCTACATTGGAAGCCAAAATTCAGCAAGAAGTTGCTAAACTTGTCAAACCAGGCACGAGGAGCTTGCTTCAAACCGTAAATAGCCTTTTTGAGATGACACACATAGTCTGGTTTCTCTGGATCTTCGAATCCTGGTGGCTGTTTCATGAAGACATTTTCTTTTAAATCCCCATGTAAGAAGGCATTTTGCACGTCAAGCTGCTTCAGAGTCCACTTCTTTGTGACAGCCACATGTAATATTGTTCGAATAGTAGCAGAGCGAACCACAGGACTAAAGGTTTCTATGTAATCTAGACCTTCTTCTTGTTCATTTCCTCTAGCAACAAGCCGAGATTTGAGCTTCAAAACAGAACCATCAGCATTACGTTTGACTTTGTGAACCCATCCACAGCCTAGAGGATTCTGACCATCCTCAGGAGGCACAAGCTCAAAAGTCTTCGTCTCATACATAGTTTCTATTTCAACACCCATTGCTTTGTTCCAACCAGCGTGTTGAAGTGCAGCTTTCAGAGACTTCGGTTCTATAAACTCATCTTTCACCGTAAACAAAGCATAGCGAGGATTTGGTTTAACAATACCAGCACGAGCTCTTGTTGTCATTGGATGCAAGACTGGCTGTGCAGGAACAGACTGATCAGGTACTGGAACATCATAATCAGAAATAGGACTTTCCTGAACTGGACTTCCCACTACTGGTGATGTAGGAGAAGGAGGAGTCACAGGACCAGGTGACTGAACAGTTGGTGTTGGCACTAAACGAGATTGGGGAGCAGGAAGATCTTCTTCAATGTCTGAGGACAGATCAGGAGTGATGACAAGAGGAGCCAGATGTGCCTGTCTCCAAGCATTCAACAGAGCAGAATCCGTTTCTTTGTGAAACTTTCTGTAAAGATCTTCAAAAGGAAAAGAGTTCTCATCAAACAAGACATGTCTACTGATGAAAACTCTACCTGTAGGAGGATAGTAACACCGATATCCTTTATATTTTTCATTGTAGCCGAGAAAAACACACGCCAGAGACTTAGGATCAAGCTTATTCTGCATGTATGGACGAAGAGATGGGAAGCATTTGCAGCCAAAAACTCTTAACGCAGTGTAGAGAGGAGGATTCTTGTGTAGCAAGTGAAAGGGACTCTTCTGATCAGGTAAGGTAGGTGATGGTAAAAGGTTAATGAGGAACACAGCAGTGAAGAAAGCTTCGACCCAAAACTGTTGAGGAACACGAGCATGATACATCATAGTCAGACCAAGCTCAGTTAAGTGTCGATGTTTTCGTTCAGATAGACCGTTCTGTTGCGGTGTATGGGGACAAGAGATTCTCTGTTGAATACCAGCCTGAGATAACAGAGTGAGAAACGCTGTGCTTATGAACTCACCACCACCATCACACTGGAACTGTTGTATCTTGCTATCAAATTGTGTTTCCACCAGTTGTTTGAACCGAACAAACACTGAATAAAAATCTGACTTTTGCTTGAGAGGATAAAACCATGTGTATCTGGTATGGTTGTCAATGAATATAACATAGAAACGAAAACCTTGATTAGAAATCACTGGACTTGGACCCCATAAGTCACAGTGTATACGTTCCAAAGGTCGAGAAGATACAAACTCAGACATAAGAAAGGGGAGTTTACAGCTTTTCCCAAAATGACAAGCCTCACAAACAGACTGAACACTTGCCTTATTCAAAACAATAGTCTTATTCCTAGATAGAAGACGAAGAACATCCGCATGAGCATGACCCAACCTCTGGTGCCAAATCTTCTCACAGGCTGCCTGTTGTCTTGTAGAGTAAAAAACTTGAAAACGGGTATCCTTTAGAACATAGAGATCCTTATGCCTTTGACCTCGAGTTATTACCTGCTTTGTCACCTTGTCCTTAACCAACACAGATTTATCATCAAACGTAAATTCACAAGGATAGTCTGATGTAAGCTTTGAAACTGAAAGTAATGACTTGGTGATAGCAGGGCACACTAAAACATCTTGTAAAGGTAAAATACCTTGTGGTGTGTGCAGAGGAATAGACCCGATGTGTGTGATTGGCAAGTGATCTCCATTACCAACTATGACCTGATCATTGCCAAGATATGCTTCAGAAGACTGCAACTGGGATCCATCATTAGTGATATGAGCAGACGCTGCAGAGTCAGGGTACCACTCTTGCCCAGTATACTGATGCTGATCCGTGAGTCTTGCAGTAATCAAGGCCTGAACATTTTCAGGGGTTTGATAGGTCTGATCAAAGCGGTTGTAGCACTTAGCTGCAGTGTGACCTACACGTCCACATATTTGACATGTTGGCCTGGAAGTATTAGCTCCAGAGAACTGTTGTTGAAAACCCCTACCACGCGTGGAGTAAGAACCAGAACCACGTCCTCTGTTGCCTCTGTTGTTGTACGACCCTCTTCCTCTGTTGTAGTATCCACGACCAGTATGGAAAGCCAAGTGAGGAGAAGGTGTATCTTCACGGTAAGCCTTAAGCTTGTCATCAAAGTTGACAAGTTTGAACACTGCTTCTTCAAAACTGGCATCAAGAACAGAGTCCATGGAGTGCTCGATGGCCGTACAAATGGACTCATATTCTCGACCCAAACCATTCAAAGCAGCATAAATCATTTCTTGTTCAGAAACCGGACAACCAATAGAATCAAGTTGGTCACACACGCCCTTAACATCATTAAGATACTCGGTCATAGACTTGTCCTTCTTAGCCATACCTTGAAGCTTTCTCTGAAGATCCAGTTTCCTTGTTGCAGAGATCCGATTGTACTTCTTGCCTAAGCTGAACCAGACTTCTTGCGCAGAGTTGAGTCCATAAACCGACCGAAGAGCTTCTTCAGTAAGAGTACCAAACAGCCACGCCATCACAAGTTGGTCTCGACGAATCCATTTTGTGAACTCAGGGTTGGCTTCTTCAGTTACAACGTCACCGTTCCGAACAGTCACCGTTGGTGTAGGACGAGGAGAAGATCCATTGATGAACCCAAGAAGAGACTGACTTGAGAGGAAAGACTCAAACTGTGTCTTCCATAGAAGATAGTTCGTAGAAGAAAGCTTCAACGTCACGCAATGCGTGATGCTGAGAGAAGGGGAGGAAAGTAAATCTGGTGCTTCGGCCATGGCTCAGGAATTACTCGCTGAGCTCTGATACCATGTAGAACACAAGAATACTGAAGAAGAAATACTTTACTGAGAATACTTTTATTGATTTCAACTTGGGAATAACGTTACAACCTCATCACCTATTTATACAACTTGACAAACTTAGTATGCCCTAACACATGATTGGAGAGCATCGAATCTATTGGAGGTGATGATTTG